AATAGTTCTTCAGTGTTACAGAGTCTGTGTGTTGTACCATACTCAGGAAAATGTGGTTGGAGGTAGACTCTTAGAAAGACTTGGTCAGAGCATCCTCTAAGGAACCTGGCAGTTTCTTGTGGCTTTGCTGCTTTGATCTTACGAAGCATTCATCCCACGGTTTGTCTTCCAACAAGCTGGGAGAAGTGTCTGTAGTCAGAATGGTGACTGTTTCTCAACAGGAAGTTGGAGCGACTTTTTTTACCAGCAGTTCTCTTGCTGCTTTTTGCTGTGTAGCCAAAGCTACTTCTCCTTTCAACACTAGATTTCCATCTGACTCCCATGTTCTTGCATCATACCTGCCTTCACATGTTTTTTGGAAGGGTGAATTTTAAGAAGCCAGATGTTTTATGGATTTTTCCACAGGGCAAATGCATGTTACCCCATGGAGATTTTTGCCACCACTGCATTACATGGTCAGGAACTTTTGCATTCGATCGTAACACAAGGAAGTGGGTTGCGTGCTTTGGACATTCCTGTCCCAGGGACGAGGAACTGTCTTATCTTTATGGGGAATGCTTGAGAATAAACACTGTCAATCTGACAAAGAGAACTCAATGGAAGAGCTGTAGTATTAAATGTGAATCTTTTACTCTACAGTGCATCCATTTTTTAACAACGGTGACCTAGCCAGCATAGCTGTGTAACATTTGACGATAGTCTTTGGTCTTTCCTCCCTTTGACAAGCAGGGGAGAGAACATATCCTTATTGCCATGGTCTTGACCCCGAGACACCAGTGGAGAAAGAGCTCTTGTGTTTAGGACGGAAGATCTGGAACCTTGACAGGAAGGATGACTTGTCATCAAAGGTTATATCACAGCGTGAGACATCAGGGTTTCATAGCTGCAAGGGATGCCGGAACGTGATCTCCTGGACAGTGTTCAGATGGGCCGTCTTGATCCAGAGCCAGTTGTAGAGGACACTACTTGCGGAGTGGGTGGGGAAAGAGACAGACAGCAGCAGCTGGGACCACAGGATCATACATAGGCAGGAGAGTTATAAACCCAAGGCTTGGCTTCTGTGTGAGCATCACAAACCAGTGGGTTGGGTTGGGGAGTAGCCCTGAGGGGTGCGGTTTCCAGACAAGCCTCCTGGACCCTTGTCTTGGATGCTACGCTCTTCAGGGAGGGGTCTAATTTTGCACAAGGACCTGCCTGTGAAGCTCTGAAGGTCCCTTTGCAGAACTGGGGCCACGACCAGGACACATGACCTATGGTTGTTTCACTGACCTTTTGCTTTGAGCTTTCAAAACACTACAAACACTGCCGCAGGGTCCAGTGCACACCTCTGTCACTTCCCTGGGGTCCTTTCCTGTGTCTCTGTGTCCAGTGGCCTTGGCAGCTGCTTCAAACTGGCTTTCATACAGTGGCTTGAGATTGCTCCGAGCCCCTGCAGCTGCCAGGGTGTTTCAATCCCTAGGGGCCTGGGGTGCAGATTAGCAAATGCTCTCTGCTGAGCATATGGACTTCCTCAAGCGTGCCTCAAAGCAGAGAGGCGGACCGGAGCACCGTCGCTTGGGGGGAATCGAACAGGATCGCTGCCGGTTTGGAGCCAGCTTAGCAATCTCCCTGCTTGCCTAACCGACCGGCCTGTCTCCACGAGGGCGACCTTCCAATGAGCCTGCCTTGCAGCCCTTCTCGCCGTTGTTTGTTGTTTGGTTTCTCAGTCTCTTAGCAGCTAACTCCAAACGGATTGAAGCAGGAACCTTCATGTTTCTCCTCTTCCAGCTGATGCAACATGCACTGTATGCAGGGTAATAACCGTGGGCTTGGGCCAGAAGCATTTTCTCAGGCAAAACTCCCATTGACTTCCAGTTTTGCTCGTTAGCACTAGCAGGGAAGGTGACTAAGCCAGGAGTGCAGGGCTAGGTGCTCTGCTGGCACCTTCCACCTTGAAGCACCGGCTTTGTTGGCATCTCTGCAGTGCGGAAACTGTGGCTTGGGTGGTGGCACCCGAGATGGGTTTAAACCAGCCAGCTGCATTCTGCTAATCGTGTAGCTGTGGCAGCACAGAGCTTGGCCTGAGCAAACCGCCCTGTCCTTGCCCAGTTTCTCAGATGAGTTTTGTAGCTGTGGGCTGCAAACTCAGCTCTCCCCTGCAGCGGGTGAGCGGTAGCGTGTCAGGATGGGGTAGCAAAGGCACATGCTAAACCAGTCCCCACGGGAGGAACTCGGAGCTCCTGCCACGGGGGCTTGTATTGCAGCATAACATGCCCCCTCGCTTCCCTCTGTGCTGGTATCTAAGCTTTACTTCCTAAAGCAAGGGGATTCCTCTCTGTCACCATGCCTGAGGGTTTGCAAGACAAGAGGAAGTCTCTCCCTTGAGAGGCTCCACTGTGTGCTTGTGAACTCTGGCTGAGGCAGAGACTTTACCTGCTTTTCCAGTAGTAGAGAGCTGATGCTGAACGGCAGGGCTGGGGATGAGGGTGTGCAAAGGGCCTGCAGAGAAGAGAGCCTTGGCACATTGGGACCATGGCCAGGGCTGCTGATCCAGGGCAGCGCGCACCGCAGGCGGGGCTCTCTCTTATACTTTCCTATTGTTATTAGTGACCTTTACAGCCGGTGAGGAGGAGGCTGCTACCGGAGGAGGTGTGTCCTCTCTGCTGAGCCACGCTGGCAGCCAGCCTGGCACCTGCTGGTACCGCCGCTGGGAGCCCACTGCCAGCTGCGTTCCCCAGCCCGCTTGCTGGAGGTGCTGCAGTTCGCAGAGTGGTGGCTGGGCCCTTCAGCTGTCCCTGAGCCCCCTGGGCTGCCTTAAAAACCCCGGTGCAGATGTTGAACCAGATCCAGAGTGAACCTTTATTCACAACTCTCCAAGTGCTTTGAGGGTACTTGGTGGGTCAGTGTCCCGTGCTCTGCTGTTGTAGGTACCAGGGCATAGGTTCCCCCTTCTCGACTCAGGCTCCATCCTAACACCAGCCAGGGCTTTTGGCCCATCTCCCCCTCCTCTTCCTGGGGGAGGCTATTCCAGAACTTCATGACCCTGATGTTTACAAACCTTCTTTGCATTTCCAGACAAAATTTACCCAGAGCAGTTGATCCCCATTTGTCCTTGCGCCAGCATTGCCCTCTAGTTTAAATAGCTCGGTGCTCATTCTCTCTTGCTGGTGTTTACTCCCAGAGGGCCACCGTGTCCCCTTGCAGCCTGTGTTTGGCCAGGCCAGCCCAACCGTCTCAGTGCCCTTCCACTGGGAATGTTTCTCCTCTGTCCGTGCACATGGTCCGTGTGGGATGGTGTGCTCTGTCAAATGTCACATACCCGGGCTGATGCTCTCTTTCCTGTGTGCAGGGGAGGGGGCTTTGCGGATGGGCACACCTGTCACCAAATCTGGGACATAGCTTGTTGTGGCAGCCTCGAATCACCTTGTGCACACAGGAGCAGGGCACTGTGCTGCTCCGCCATAGGGGATGTGGGAATCCTACTTGGCACTCACTGGAGTCCATTCATGCTTGTGTGGTGGAGCAGGATTAAAGTGGGGAATGCAGATGCTAAAGGGAGGGCTAGATAACGGGAAACAGGGATGCTGCTCATCTTCCTGGGGTTGTGCCTGCCCATGTTGGGGAATTTGGCCCAGAAAGTTAAAGTGACTTCACCAAGGCTGCACTGTAAGTCAGTGGCAAAGGAAGTCAGTTTCTGATTCCCAGCCCCTCGATCCGTCTGTTCGGGTTTGTGGCCTCCTGGAGCCGGGAAGACTTCCTGGGGTCGCTGCTTGCTATGTGTTCATGCAGGAGCATCCTGGTTGTGGTTGGTCTCTAAGCCATGGCAAGCGGACAGTGCCGAAGCCTCGAGGCAGAAACTCCCCCCTTCCATTCTGGGCCCGTCGTGTCACACTGCTGCAAAGCCTGAGAGGCAGGAAGCAGGGTCATGCACTGTGCTCGGTGTGTCATGCCCGTAGCACAGCCGCAGCGTACGTGGAGTAACCCAGAATGAGCCTGCAGCAATTTTTGTGGTGCAGCTGTAAGCCCCTGAAAGGACAGGATTATGGTGGAAATGCTGACAGGCTCTTTGGGATAAGTGCACTGAGCATTTTCCATTCTGACTTCACATCTGCTGCGTGATGCAGTAGCTAGAGCACATTTTCCTAGGAGTATAAACTCTGCTGTGGCTGAATGGAAAAAATAATGGTTCCCTTAGAGGGTGACCCATTGCTTTCTATGGGGACTTTGGGCAGGCTCCTGAGGCCAACCTGCACTGCAGGATCCCTGGCAAGTGTTGTCTTCTGTGGGGACCCTGGAGCATGCAAGACAGCTCTGCGCCTGCAGTGCTGCTCCATCCTTTCTTAGCAGGAGCTGCCCACCTATACAGGCTGGGAGGGGAGCTGTGGGCCAGGCACTGGTGCTAGGGTGGCTTTGAATACAGTAGTAGGACCAGGTCCTGCTCTGCTGGGCATTGTAGAAACACAAAACCAAGCAGGGTCCTCACCTCAGACCTTGGGTGAGTCCAGCCCCTGGTTCCTGCCTATGTTTCCCCAACTCTTTCTCAAGTTGTGCATAGATAGATTCATAGATGGCAGCAAGGTGCTTGGATGTGCTGCTGATGGGGAGGCTGAATATGTCCTGAAGATAGACTCCAGGTTTCTCAGGAGATCTGGCCTGTTT